ACCTGGGAGGGAGACTTTTGAAGATTAATAGAGATGGCATTAAGAAACAAACATGTATGTATGATTCAGGAAGAACTGTTCATTTTGGGGATGATATAGGATGGCATGGAAAATTTTCTGAGTTGATCACTCATAGTTTGTTAACAGAAGGTTTAGAAACTTGTCTTTTGTTATTGTTCTTCTTGTTAACTATTTTGTCATTACTATAGTATATAGATGACAAATTAGTAATTTGCAAATAGATTCATATTTCAAAAATCTTTGGGGCCCGTTTTGCAAGAGATAAAAAATTAATATGGTAGTCGTGTATTAATTAATATTCAACTAGAGGTATAATATGTGTATACGTGTTAGATTTTTTTCCACTTTTCAATGCACTTTTTAATGAATTGTTTGTAATATGTTTGTTTTTGTTTGCTCATTTTTTCATTTTTTGGAGATTTATATTTTAAACTTTTTTTAATAAAATCAAAATTTTAAAAATGTGGGTGCTAAAATGTCTGGCTCTTGTTTGATTCAGCAATTCTTTAATATATGTCTCACTTTTTTTAACATCAGGAGATATCTGAATCCCTATTATTTAAAAAATATATTTACAAGAAGTGAATTTTTGTATCTCTTTTTTATTGCCTTGGTGGTTTGCAATTGGTCACAGAGTCAGGCAGCAAATAAATTTAATAAATTATTGTTTTCTTTTTCTAATGGTGAGGGTGCTATACAAAGTAACAAAAATTTTTTAATGGTGGCTCATCTATTCGCAGTTCATTTATACTTGCTTGGTATCACTGGCAGTGACTCAACTCATACATGTGCCACACAAATTGCTCAATAAAGCAAACTTGAGATTACTATATGTTCAGAAGACAATCTACATGTTAATTTGCTATTTATAAGTAGACAAGGAATTATCAAGATTGTATAGTTAATGCTCAGTGTAATGCTTAGTAATTAACAATAAAAAGTACTATGTGTCATTTTAGAACATTAAATTGTTTTAGAACATTAAAAGTAAGAATTTATATCTCTGAGTCAAGTGCTAAAATCTCCACTATCTATGATTTGCCATTGCTGCACATTCTCTGAGTTTAAATTCCCAGTTTGATATTTTCGATGTCATAGCTCTTTTCCAGTATTGTGCTCCATTTATCCTTTCAAACACCTATCTTAATAAATTCTGATTGCTTGCTTAAATTGTTTTGGAATCATGCCTAGTAAAAAGAACCATGGTTTCATTTCAGATTTCTGTTTTCTTAAAAGCAAAGTATGATTTTCAGTGTATTTTTTGAATCATCACTTTATATATCTATTATCCTTCTTGAGAATGTTGTTTTTCTTGCTTATTTAGGGGTGAAAGCAGGGGTGGGATTCTACCAGTTCAAACCGGTTGGGGCGAACCGGATGTTAAAGTTACAGCCGGTTCACTGAACCGGTATTTCAACTGACTGGCTGGCCCTGCCCATCCCACCCATCCCAGGAGTCTCCACGCGGCCCATTTCTGATGGAGGTAAGTGCACGGTCCGCATGGAGGCTCTGGGAGGGGAAAAACTGGGCCTTCTGGAAGTCTGGAAAGAGACCTGTTTCCGGCTTCCGGAGAGCCTCCAGAGCCCAGGGAGGCCATTTTTGCCCTCCCAGAGGCCCAGGGAAGGCCTCTGGATCCTTGGGAGGGTGAAAAATGGCCTTCCCGGAAAAAATGGAAGTGGCAAAATGGGCCTGTTTCCGGCTTCCAGTGGGCCTCCAGAGGCCAGGGAGACTGTTTTTGCCTTCTCAGAGGCCTGGGGGAGGCCTCCGGACCTTTCAGAGAGTGAAGACAGTGTCCCCTGGACTCTGGAGGCCCACCGGAAGCCAGAAACAGGAAGTTCTGGTAGGCCCAACCCACCATGGCCCCACCCTCCCAGCAACCAGGCAGTGAACTGGTTGCTGGGATTTTTGAATCCTACCCCCGGGTGAAAGGTAAACTTGGAGAAGTTTTAGATTACAATAGCTCAGAATTCATATGATTGAGGATTGAACTTTAAATTGTAGTTCATCCTATTTCTTATATAGATTCTTTTAATTTCTATTCTAATGGCATAACTCCATGGTAATAGATAATATGCTGAAGTTTCTGCAATAGTACCCTGTTTCTCCAACAATACGGCCTTCCCCAATAGGAAGTCCCAGCATGTTTTATAGGCATGAAATGAAATTAAGCCCCTCCCCCCAAATTAAGGCCTATATTAAAACATGCGAAATGGGGGGGGATGGTGGGGGGGCTTGCCGTTAGGAAGTACTTTTGTTGCACACCCAGATTTGGTGCTGCCTGTGTTGACCCCGATACGAAGTGCCCCACCAATGCCGAGGTCAACATCCAAGCCGTCGCCACCCGCCCACCCAAAGATGCAAGGTGGGGGAATTAAGTCACCCCTGAAAAGACAACCTAGCCATTTTTTCAGGGCTCAAAAAAAAAATAAGACCCGGCCGTATTATATGAGAAACACGGTAATAGCTGGTATATTGTTTTTTAAATATAAAAATGCCTGAATATGTTCTTGTTTGGATCAACTTTAAAGTTTGTCACTTGAAATTGCTCCCTAGTAATTGATGTCAGTATTCAAGGTTTGTGTGATAATCATCTGAAAATAAATTATGATAATTTTAGATAAACTACTTGCTTGTATAAATTCTTGTGTTTACTAAAATCTATGCAGATTTACATTTTTATTAATTCATAAATATAAATTGAAGATTCTTCTTTAAGATGTTAACTTTACTGCTTGTTTTGTCATAACTGTCTCATTCTCCATGAACAACTAAAACTGTTTTCATACTCCATCTACTGAATTTAAGAATTCCTTTATGTTTAAATAAATGAATTAGCTTGTGTTTTTGGATGGTTCATGTATATATATTGGAATGTGGAAGACTGCAAATTTGTGGAAAGACTAAAGGAAAGGTTAATAAATGAAATCTTAATAGTCTGCCATTAATTCCCAATTGTAACATAAGACTTATTTTTAATTTTATTTTAACTCTCTATTTGTTACAGTTATCTTAAAATTTTAAACCACTAGCGCTTTTGATATGACCCAGTTGTGAACACTTCCCTATACTGGTTTAATAGCATAATGGAATGTGTGGGTGACCTTGGAGAAAGAGGGAAATAATCAGATAAAAGAGGCAGGGATGCCTTAACTGTCAGAGAGAAAACATTTGGGGAAGACCTGCCCTAATGGATCAAGCAATTAAAAATGGCCACAAGAAGTTTGTATTTTCAGACTTGCAAGACTCTGTTAACGTAGACTCCATAAAGTAGAATAAGTTCATTTTATCATGTTTCCTGTCTGGTTTACTTGGAGGGCTGCCAATGGCAGTTCCTTCAGAATCCTGATTGCCAACTCCCAAGAAATGAAGTTACCAGGGCTCCAGAATTCTCACAATTTCTACTGTGGCATGAATTGAACAGTGTCCCATGTATTTGGCCTCCTGAGAAATACAGTTTTGCAGGCATTTAATGTGAAGTAAGATTGGAATATGAAATGCTGACAGGGTCATGTGTTAATGGAAGCTTCCTTACTACACATGCCCCAATCCAATTGTTACACTTCTGGTTCTGTTAATTCAGTTTGGGGCGGGGGGAGGAGAAATTGATTCAATTTAGAAGGGGAAAAAGGAAATATCAGAGAGAACCTTCAAGTTTTTATAAGACTATGTGGGCTCAAAATTGTAGAGGTTTAAGACTACATCCAGAGGATATCAAGTTTAGGAAGGTTGGCAGATAAATCACATGCATCTAATCACCTAGCTAGCAATTGACAAATAATGGTGGTGTTGGCCAATTTTCAGTCCTTCAGGATAAGCCAGGCAGTAAACATATCTTGGAAGGACTTATTTGCTGTAGGGTATAGTAACAGAATCTTCAGTCATGGAAAGAATCTTGTCCAAGTTCTCCGTTTCATCTTAGACTAAAGCAAATCAAGATAGAGTTATTTTAAGTCTCTTTCTCACTATTCTTTCTACCTCTTGACTTCATCTCTCACTCAAACCTTCCCAAATGTTAGCTTTAAATTTTTTTTACATTTTTTACCAACAGATGTAACCCAGCAGCTAGTCTAGGATTTCTTCTGCTCATCCTTACACATAGTCTATATTCCTAAATAAGTATTTAGAACAGCTGTTTTTCTTTTCACCTATTGTGCTGCTACAATTTGAGAAATTTTGAATTGTGAAACTGCAGATAGCTAGATTTTTTAAAAAAACTTATATCTGGCAATAGTCACCACCACCCCAATTTTCCAGGTATCAGGAGCTTAAAAGCACCTGTATGGCCTGTAATGGAAGAGGAGAAATGTAGTTGTGTGGTACACAGCTAAAATTCAGCATAGCCATTCTTAAAGCATTCACTTCCCCATAAGACACAGTCTAAACTTGCATATATTTGCAACCACATGATGAATATTTATTCCAGTCAACACACAATGTCTTATATACAGTAGTATTGTGTCAGTTTGAAATAAGATGGTTTATTAATTGATGTAAGTTTCACATGGCTTTCATAAATGTTTATATACCAGCATCAATGTTCTGTCATAAATTATTCTTGCAACTATATCCAAAGCCCAACTACCTGTCAGAATACAATTTAAATCTACACATTTATCCTGAAAAGATTACATTTTCAGGATCTCTGTGCTTTCCAAATGTGAACCTATCTGACAGAAATGTGTTGATTAGTTTTGCTTGTGTTTAAATAAAACAGTAACCGTGTGGGCATGCTTGTGAATAAAGGGAGAATCATAATTCCTTGTTAATTTTCAAATTACTACTATTCACAATAATTTCTTCTCTTATTTTTCTGAAAGGAACATCTTGTCATTTCTCTTCTAAGTACAAATGATGTTTTATGCATTTTAATGTGATAATGTCTGTAAGGAAAATCCATTGTTTATGACAGTTACGTTTTATCTGTTTGTATATATTTCATTGTATGTAATGTCTCACTTTTTCCTCTTTTTCTTTTGTAGTCACTGGATGGATTTGTATTTGCACTAAACCAAGAGGGAAAGTTTTTGTACATTTCGGAAACTGTCTCCATTTATCTTGGCCTCTCCCAAGTAAGTAGAACATTCACATTCCATTTTAAGGCTCACTCTTTTTAAAATATTCTGGAACTTTTCACATCAATTTGAATTTACAATTTAATGGCTTGGTTTTACACATCCTAGAAGGTGTAAGCTGGAAAAAGAAAAAGTGGGAACTTAAAAAACCCTTTTCTCCCATAAAAATCATTATTAATTTATTGAGAACAAATGAAGTTTCTTTTCTCAGTTGTTTTGAACTTTAAACCTTCATAGCTGTTAGGAAAGGGACACAGACATAGTACTTCCCATGTGCCCTATTACTGGATGTTTATGGAGAATCCGGCTGTTATCCTGGGAGCTGACACAATGGCAAGGAGTCTCTTGGAGTCAGAAAATGCTGAAAGAAACCATTAAAAAGACTTACAGGGAGGATTTCAAGAAGGACAAAGTCTGCTCTTTTTGCACATGTATAAATAAATGAGAAACAGTGCAGTGTAATTTGTTCTTTTGTATCATTTCCTTTTAAAGTCTAAGATTGTATGAAGAGGAAGAATTATTTTTTTATTTGTTACAGTTAACTGAGCTGTCAGTAACTGTGGGATCAGAGATATCCTGAAAAAAATTGGGAAGCCTTGGATGTGTTTTTTTACAAAATGGGTTACTGTGCCTATAATAGAATTACACTTGAAGAACTCAACTATGATAACATTACATCTTTTTTGCATAGAATGGAGAGCTGTATTGGATGTTTTGCTTGCATCGCTGTGATTATTAAGACAGTCCTTGGATTGCAACTTTTCATAATATTATGATTTAATTAGTTGTCCTAAATTAAGTTGAAAATGTTTAACTAAAGTAATCAATTAAGAATTAGCCGTGCTGGCTATGCGTGTATGAACATCTGGAGGAAAGCCAGGATAAAAACCTAATAACAAAAATAATTACAATAACTTAGGTAAAAGAAAAATACCCAGGACTTAAAATAATGAAATACCAATTCAGAACATTATTTATGAAATGTCTATTGGTTATATTGGTTTACATCCGTTCTCTCTCTCTCTCTGTCTCTGTGTGTGTGTGTCTGTGTGTAAGAAAAAGGCAAGATAATTAAGAGCAAAATTCAATATATTTTTATATCTCACTCTGATCTTAGTCTGGAATAAGATGTAATTCCTGCTTTGATTGTTTGGGTGTCAGTTTCAAATGTTTCATAATTCGTTACTAGTAAATCATACATTATAAACTCAATTTATTAATGGAGGTTTTTTTTAAAAAAACACAGAATACATTAATGGTTATTATTGTCTTGGGTTCATCATATTATATATTAATCTGTTTTATGCGGTGTCCAAAAAAGTTTAATAAAGCAGCGAAAAGAAGGATGGTTAATCAGTTTAAACAGGTAAATACTAATTAGGAAACTCCTGAAAGGCATCCATCATTATACACTATCTGAAAACAAATTTTACAGCCCTGGTTAGTGGTGTAATCCAAATTCTGTCAAGGCAACTGCATTTTCTGTAATTGAGATGTGTATGTTTGCTTTGCATAACAGATGGCTCTGTATGCTTAGACTGATAGCTAGGAAAATAATAATTGCATTATTCTGGCCAAAAGAATATTAGCTCTTGGGCTGGGGCCATTTTAGGCAGTCCTCCTGCCAGCACAGCATATGCACATATATGGATTCGATTTTCAAGGAAATTGATGCATCTGGAATAGTGTCACCATCTGAAATATCATCTGTTCAAGAAAAAAAGTTGGCTTTAACCCTGTCCACATCCTCCTTGCTAAAAGCATACTCCTGTAGTGAGCTGCAGCACCATTACACAAACTTTTTTGAACTACAGGCAGACCCAGCTTTCCACAGATTAGGGCCCTCCAGCTGCCTACAATTTCGGCTCCCATAAACCAAAACCTAGACTCTGGGGCAGGTTATTGCTTTTCTGCTTACAATAGTGGGCTGAATGTAGCATCTGGCCAAACAATAGGGAACACCTTTTTCTTTTTTTAGTCAGTGCTTTGCTGAAAAACGTATGATTAAAAATAAGGCAGTGTAATTGCCAATAAAATGAGTAAAATCTGCTTCCTGAGGTCAAATAGTCTGCTTCAAGGGCCCAGCCTTTGGTTGGAAAAGAAAGGGGGCATCATACTGAGTTCAGGATAGGTTGGCTGCTTTTTAAAAATGTAAGGAAATATTTCTCAAGATCCCTGATGTGATTATTTTCGCCGTTGTTGCAGTGCAAATCCATTCAGAGCAGCTTTGATCCCACTGAGAACACTTTGATGCAGTGGACAGATGCACAGCCCTTTTGATGCCCTGGGGAAGAGCTGTACTGCTCTCTCCATTTTTGAGAGAGGAAATGCACAGCCTGCCAAAACAGAGATTGGCACAGGAGTTGAAGAGGGTCATTATTTAATCTCTATACAATGTATCAAAGTTTCTTGTCTGTTTCCTCTTGGCAAAAAGACCAGCAGAATTAGCTACCTAGGTAAGATTTGGGAGTTTTATTTCTGTTCATGAAAGGTTTTCTTCATACTATATTCCTATCATTCACGTCCTGTTCTTTGCAGCTTAACCATTAGTGGTAGCTTCATTATCATTTTCTTTGGAATTACTGCAGAATTGTGTACACATCTTTGACATTCTGGGTATTTTGACAAGATGGTTTCCTATCTATATGTGTCCAATCACAAAATAGTTATCTAGCATCAGATCATAAAATAGCTATTTATTGAAAGCAAACTGGTGAGATTGCTTCCAGACTCCAAGAATGCTGTACTCTACTTCATCTTCCTTGTTTTGTCTGAAAGAGCCTGGAGACCTTGAGCCATCTTTCCTGTTTTTCAGAATTCATCATACAATCCATAATAATTGTTACAACTATAAATGATGCTTTGGGCTGAAAACCTTTCTAGGCAGTTTTCTATTTCTTAAAAACAAAAGTTCCTTTTCCCCACTTTCTCCAGTACCAAGGGCAGAAATATCCTTCTACTCACCTTTAACATATTTTCCGGGTTGAAGTGTCTGCAGAGTCTTGATAATATGGTGTGCCAAAATGGATAAAACAATAATGGGACAGGTTGTCGCTCCCTGTTGAAGCACTAGTAAAACTTTGGGAAAAGAGAACTCCGTCCCTCTGTGGCCTGCCACGATTGCATCTCTGTGGGAAAGGGGATAGAGAGGGGAATATTATTGAGGTTTAGGCTACAGTGGAGTCAGTCAGGAGGGGAATTGTTCTCCATCTTGGACTGCAAATAAAGGAAGAGAAGGGATGCTAGCCAGTGGTGGGATTCTACCAGTTTCCCTACTGGTTTGGTTCACTTAACGCACGCACACAGTTTTCCAAACACCAGCTGAGATTTTGCAGTGCCAATCAGCGGCGAGGAGCGGTGAGGATAAAGAACAGAAAAGTGCAGGGGCAGGTGGGAAGGCTGATCCTGCACTTTTCTCTTCTTTCTCCTCTCAGCTGATCATCAGAGGTTTTTTTTTTTACTACTGGTTTGGCCAAACAGGTAGCATTTCACCACTGATGCTAGGTTTGTCTTGTCAAAGTATTATAGCCCCCTTAGACTTGGGCTGATTGTGAAGCATTGAGACATTCATGGAAATATGAAACAGACATGATCACAGTGAGCAACACTTCTTCATATAAATGAGCAATTGAGAAAGATACTGATCATTCAGGAGGGAGGGGAATCAAAGCTTATCTATAGATGGCCAAATTTGCATCCTTAGATGCGACAGTTCTAGTTGCTACTAAGGTATTGTGTCTTTGATCTCTGGTATGTTCAAGTAATTTTTATCTCAAAGGCATTGTATATTTCGAATTAGGAGAGCTGCATTTTATATGAGACTGTTATTCAGTTCATATATTTGCCTATAAACCTCCTTTTTAAAAACAATATTGGAAAAGAAAAAGGAGTGAGCATATTTAAAAGAATAAATGAGTGCTTAAGTTACAAATCTATAAACTATTCCAAATATCATGCTACCTTTCAGAGATTCAGAGATTGCCAGTCTAATAGCCTTTCCAGCAGCTATGATGTTTTCAGTATTCATCACTAACAGTGATTGCAATAATCCACACTAAATTAAGCATTCTAAAACTTTTATTTACTGCAGAAGAAAGCGAACATCAACAAAAATTACTGTGCCAGTGCAAGCTCAAAAAATTTTCCAAGTGTGAAGATCATTGTAGCGACCTGTTATGTTACTGAATTCTTGTTTTTAATAAAAGTGCCAGGAACAAGCTTTAAAGGGCTATGGACTTGCTTTGAATTCATAATACTGTAATTGCCATAAAATAAACACTGCTGGGTTCCTGCTATTAGCTGGCAGAGGTTGCAGATCTTTACATAAACTTTACAGTTTTTCAGGAATTTAATTGTTCAGTAGTGTTCGGTTTGTATTTTTTTGAAAGTAATGCTTCAGTGACATCTTTCTATCTACAGTGTACAGTGTATATGCTATCTTTTCTTCAGAAGTAGAAGGCAGCCTACATGGGATTCTCTCTTAATTTAATTCCCATAATAACCCTATGTAATACGTTGCGCTAAGAAATAGTCATTCGGGGAGTTTCCATGGATGAGTGCAGACTTGAACTTAGGTTTCCACAGTGCTACCCCAAAACTTTAACTATAGCACCAGAGTGGTTCTTTTCTTAACTTTGATTCTGTTGCTAAATATTCAAGCTGGTTTTAGAAAAGGCTGAGGAACAAGAAACAATATCGTTGATGCACACTAGATAACTGAAAAAACCAATCATTGTAAAATGAAGTTACTATATGCTTTCTTGATTATAGAAAGCTCTTTCATTGTTTTGATTGATTGTCAAGCTGTGGAATGGCCTTAGGGAAATGGAAATCCTAAAACATCTCATTTTCTTTATGTGAAACCTATACATCTGACAAGAAGACACAATCCAGGCAGAACAAGGTGAAAACAGACTGGTGGCAAGTTGACAAAGGTGTAAGACAAAGCTGTATATTTTCTTCTTATTTATTAAAATTATGCTAAATATATATTGAGG